GGTCTTAAATACAAATGGACTCCAAAACAAGCAAAATGAGTAAAAAATGATTGAAAGAGTGGCAGCAAGTGTCTGCCTTAGATTTCAATGCTAGAATGGCTTCTAGGCCTTGCCGAGTGTGAACTTCAAAATTTTTTAAATATAGCACCCGGCTAGTTTACTTACACTTGCCAAATTATATACAAAACAACAGCATATAAAGTCTTTACAATTACAACTCAATTGAAGGCCAAGGAACTACTCTTGCTTGCACTAACACTTTATCTACCATTCAATTGCAAAATAGTGAGAGAAATTACAATGCATCATTAACTTTCAAAACAATATAAAATACAATAATTACATAGAACCAATTTCGTGGAACATATTCATGTCATGAATTCACACGAAATTGCAATTTCACATACAAAAAAAAAAACACATAGCAGCTAGAGAACTATGAGAAGACAATTAAACCAAATTAACCAAATATTAGCCCAATGAGATTTCATACACCCCATGCCGGATCACTTCGATTGACAGCGCTACGGTGTTCTAGTTTCTCTCACTACCCAAAATTCCTCTCTCTACAAATTTTAGAGGTGTCTTGGTCCCTCTGTCTCTACAAAATTCACTCTCTCTGCAAATTTCAGAGTTCTAGTCTCTCTCACTACCCAATATTCCTCTTAAGTGTCTTGGTCCCTCTCTTTCTACAAATTTCATAGTTCTATTCTCTCTCACTACCCAATTTCCTCTTAGGTGTCTTGGTCCCTCTCTTTCTGCAAATTTGAGAGTTCTAGTCTCTCTCACTACCCAATAGTCCTCTCTCTACAAATTTCAGAGTTCTAGTCTCTCTCACTACCCAATATTCCTCTCTCTACAAATTTCAATTTCAGAGTTCTAGTCTCTCTCACTACCCAATATTCCTCTCTCTACAAATTTAAATTTCAAAGTTCTAGTCTCTCTCACTACCCAATATTCCTCTCTCTACAAATTTTAAAGGTGTCTTGGTCCCTCTCTCTCTACAAATTTCAAAGTTCTAGTCCCCCTCACTACCCAAATTTCCTCTCTCTCTACAGATTTCAAAGGTATTCTAGTCTCCCTCACTGCCCAAAATTCCTCTCTCTCTACAGATTTCAGAGGTGTCTTGGTCCTTCTCCTCTACAAATTTCAGAGGTGTCTTTGTCACAAGGGAGACCTATTAAGTTCACCCTGAGACAAACCACTGTTAAGCCTAATGTCGTGCAATATTATCTTTAACTTTTTTTCTACATTGCTACTAATTTCTTCATGCTCCAAAACTTCCAACAAGATATTGTGACGTTTTTGATGTTTTGAGTTGTGGATTTGTTTATTCTCTACAAGCTCTAGTTGGAGCATATTGGTGAGTTTGTTTTATACTTCCTATTTACTCATCTTGTTATGATTTATGATTAGGGCAAAATATGAAAGGGAGGATGATAGATTGGGCATCTGATTCTAAGTTTTGAAGACTTAGTTGTAGATGTACGCTTAAACTTCTTATGTGATTGAATTATATGCATGTTAAGTCCTTGATTATAAATATATGTTTAAACTTTTTATGTGATTGGATTATATGCATGTTAAGTATTTGATTATATTTTCAAGTAAGGCTCATGGAGAGATTTTGATCCAAAGGTGACTTTGTATTAATCCATAGTAGTAGTCACCGTAAATCAATTTTAATACAAATGAGGGTAAATGATGGCTGATCTAATTGTGAAATGGGGTTGGATTATATTAGTAGTCACTTTAAATCGATTTTAATACAAATGAGAGTAAATGATGGCTGATCTAATTGTGAAATGGGGTTGGATTGAAACTGTAAAAATTGTGCCCATTAATCGATGGGCTCAGTCAGGCCAATATATGATATGCTAGTCGAGGCTTAATGTGGATTGCATTGCATTGCATAGTGGGCTAAGAGATATGAGTGGGGTATGGAACCCAAATGAGAAATAAAGCTCAATTTGGTTTAGTGTTTTGTTATAGTTAGGAAGGATGCCAAATGGGGATCTCATGACCCATATTTATAGAGAAGAATTATGATAACTGTTGGAGTATAGTCATTTATAGATGCTTTTTTTTAAGGGCGGATCAACATGTCATTGACCATTGTAGTCTATGAGGTGAAGAGGTTTCAAATCTAGTCTACCCTTTGCCTCGGATAGCTATCATGATCAAGGTATGGATCTATACCTTACCCTAGAAAGAGAGAGTTAATAATCTCATAAGAAAGTAATTTAGAGAGAGAAATGGGTGGGTTGTGTCCTATAGAAAGGATCTCTATTTCTCTCTCCTTTCATCCTCATATGAGGAGAGAAAAAATATATATTTTTATCCTCTCAACTATCTGTGTGTTCAATGTCATAGTGAAATATTTCCCAAGTACTAAAAATTTCCCTCTAAATATGTTTGAAGGACCTTGGGACATGCGTACCCTTTTGAACCTAATTACAAAACTACCCATACAAAATTTGTGCTTTTATCACCAGAGCACTCATGAGACAGGTAAAAGGAGGGAGGGTAATGTCACCATTAGGGTCCGCATATCGGTGAGGGCCATACGGCCTCTTCACATGTTCCACTATCCTACATAATTTTTTATTTTCCATTTCCTTGTCAAAATGATTTTCTAAAATTGTAAGAATTCCTAAGAATCGTGTTTCAATTGGTTTAATGAAAATCAAGTGTCTCAAACTCAAACAATAATATTAGAGAAGAATTGGTGCCTCATGTTCAAAATTTTTCACCATACTAGGGCACTCCACCCAGCCTTTCCCTACGATCCTCGAATCACATTATCAAACCGATCCAACAGAACACACAACTCATGATAATACAATTAGGGCCAATGCTTACTCCATCAAAGCCAACCAAGAGGCGGAGGGACTACAAAAACAGCATGTTAATTTTAGATGTTCCCCAAGGACAAGTCTAAACCCTTTTGGGCACTTGAACCACAACTCAAATGTGTAAGGCACCTCTTTTTGGTACATGTACACCTCCTCCCCATGAAGGAAGGTGGCTTCCCAAAAGTGCAGCCATGGTGTGCATATTTTATGTAGGTGGTATGCCAAGGATTTCGCCCTTGCCGTCACAAGCCTCCAGTTTACATGAGTGTGTCTTCCTCCTTGTTAACCACCAAATGGCATATGTCCGATCTTGACAAGGGATGACCCTATAACCCTTCCTAAATTGTTAAATCTAGGCTAAAGAGTTTTTACCAGGCCTAGATCGCTCAACCCACGTGAGCTACATGTGTGCAACTAGGCACTCTATATGAGCAAGTTTAAACTTGTCTCACCTTGGATGAGCCTAAGCGACATCTTGATCCATTGAGGACCACACTCCTACGCGAACCAAAACATCTTTTTAATAAGGAGTTTGAGTATAATGGTGTATAGGTCTTTAAACGCCACAGATACATAGTTTAGTGAATTCAAGGATGAGTGCTATTGTAGCAAAAGGGAGGTTGGATGAAACGTGGTGGTTCATTAAGAATTTTCTATTTCAAGTTAAAATCGAGGGGGTCATATTAAAATCGAGGGGGTCTTATGACAAATCTTGTTGGTTTTTGGCAAGGCCAGCTTGTTGAAAGAGAAGGCAATTTCCTGAAAACGTTTCTGTTCAAGAACAGAAAAGAAAGGTGAAGCCAAGAATAAGGCTCACCGAGTTGATGAATCAACAATCAATCATATTGTCGATGAGGTATTAATTGATGAATACGTTCCCATGTACTGCCATGGTTGAATTCATGATAATGGAGCTGTACATCGTAGGTACCCACATAAATTGTTATTTGATGCATATAAGCAATATGAACGTGATTTGACATCAATGAGAAACGACTAAGGAATACAATCATAATGGCCTCAGTTTCATGTTAAGATGTATGATGGGACGGTGTGAATACTTGCAAATATATAACATATATGATTTAAAGAGAGTGAGCAAGTATTGTCAAAGCTATGACATTATGTGCAAGGCATTGTTTGAATGATTTATGCAAAGGATCTCGTAACAAAATATCAAACACTGGTTATACTTCTAGGTATTTGAGAAGATTTCAGCTAAAGCATGTTCGGGGCCGAATGGTCTCAAAAACTCAAAATGAGATAGTTGAAGAAGATGGTGGAGTTTGCATGAGAAGGACAAAGCACAAAGGAAGATGAGCAAGGCATGCTAAGGAATATTGTTTTGCTAGAGAGCATGTTGTGTTGACTAAGTTTTCTAAGCTTTACAGTATAAGAATAGTCAGAAATGACTAACAAAATAAGAGTATGATTTTATATCAAGGTGAAGATTGTTAAGTCACTATATAAAATGACCACCCAAAGGCATTAATCTCATTACTAAATTCGTTTTTGGTTGCTCTAAAAGCCACTTCAAGTAGAGCTTTATAGGCCATTGTGCATAGAGAAACAATAGGTCTTGTGAGGTAGGGCTTTGGTTGAGTTTGAAATTTTTGGGTTTTCGAGGCAAAACCTAGTTATCACTTTGTGCCCTTTATTTGGGTGGTTTCATTAGCATTTTCTATGTGCCCTTTATTTGGGTGGTTTCATTAGCATTTTCTATGTAGGCAGAGTCATGAAGATGGAATCCACAATAGAAATTGATTCAATGATTTTCCTCTGGCAGCGGAAAGGAAATTAGTGGTTCTATCCTAACATGATGTTATCCATGCATTTACCAAATGTGGTAATTCTTTCATGAAAATGGAAATCATCTCTTTTGTGATTGTAGCCCGAAACTACTTATAGTTGTGTGATAATGGTGTTTATGTTGTGGTTTGTAGTGTATCATGTGGTTTTGAGTTTCCACACTTCGATTTTCTTGGTTTCATTTTAAATTTTATTTATATCAAATATTTTCTCAACCGTATGGATACGTTGAAATTGATTTGCTAGTGATAGGCAAGTTGATTTTTAGATAATATATTTCAGATATCATATTTATTGTAATAGGGGACTTACCACAACAAAGGGCATGCAATCAAATTAGTCTCAAGAGTACATTTTCAGATATTATATTTCAGAAATCATATTTGTTGTGATAGGGGATTTACCACAACAAAGGGCAATCAAATTAGTCTTAGATTACACATCTGACTTGTGGTGGGAGATTGATGGACCAAATTGAATGAAGCTCGACGAGCCACAGCATGTCTTGTAAAAATTCCATACGAATATTTTATCCTCACCTTACAACACGTGGACATTAAATCAAATCACAGTGGTTCCCTAGGAACGCATGCCTCCATGTATAGTTGTATATACCACGAAGAGTACAGACAATTGCTCAAGCAAAAGAAGTAATATTCTCTTGGAAAGTTCTTTGCACATCTCAATCTCGATATTTAACCAATCCAAGACCATATCAGACTTTAATAAAAGCAAAACATGTATACTTCTCTTGTAAGTGCCTAGATCATCTCAATCTTCATGTCCATCCAACTCTGCACCAACAAGCAAGATAAGCACCATTCTGTTGAATGTTCTTTAATCATCTCAAAGTCCATGTCCATCCAACTCTATAATCTCATTGTGAAGAGCATTTGAGATTTCTATACAAAACAAAACAAATAGCATTCCCTCGATAGTCAGTAGCTCATATGATTTCCATGTCCATCCAACTCTACACCTTCATTGCAAAGAACATAAGGGACTTCTATACTGACCAAAAAAAGTATTCACAATGTTGTTTCATCATATAAATTTCCATGAGCACATATATAGATATACCTTTTTCAATCCGACCCACTGTCAGAAACTTCAAGAACATCAACCCCAACATCAACAAACTTGTCAGAGGAACACGCCCTTTTCCTTCTAAGAGCTTCCACAATACCAACTTGTGGTGGATCTTTCTCATGCTCTTGCTCCACAAAACTCATTACTGAGGTACCATCAATACCACCACCACAAACTTGATCAACATTTATATCACCTCTAACAGCCACTATTCTTTTTGAATCATGATTATCCAATCCCACACAATTCTCCTTTTGGGCTTCAGTATTTCTCAATAGCCTCTGCTTTCTTCTCCTCTCCATTCTTTTATTAATTAATGGCTCGACACACTCCTCATCCTGTTGTCTCTCATAAGAATACCATCCCATCCATTTACTTATCACTGTGAAGTCCGTTTCGCAGTTTTTTGAGTTTTCCAGCTCTATTTTACAGTCACTCAGTTTCTTCATAGCTGTACAGCTCGGCTCAATTGTCTTCAGTTTCTTCCTAGCTGCAGAGCTTGGCTCAGTTGCTTCATTGACTTTTGACCCATCAGCTGGTGCATAGATGTCACCCTTGTTTGTGCTTTGCAAAGTGCTAGGTTTGGTCAGAACGGGATAGAATTTATCAATGGTATCAAGTTGGGGCCGAATATTTAAGATTTTCTTCTTTCCTTCAGATTTAGCAACAGAATACAGAGCACCCTTGGTAGGTTCATGTGGTGGGCCTTCCATATTAACTGGACGAGGGCGACGCTTGCCTGATAAAGATGCATGAGAAAAAAAAAACATGCTAAGTGTTGGCATCCATTTAAAAGATGGGAAAGAACTTAGAAACACACATTATCTAATGCTCACAAACATTCCAGTCAGGAAAGAGTTGTCAATTCAAATTTCTTCATATTAACTGCTTCTACATGCATAAGCAATTTGTAATCAGGGGCACATATAGCACAAAACGAGTTGATACGACACAATGGCTTCTAAAGAAAACAAAAAACACCAAGAGTTCCACATCTACAGTCAATGTGAAAAAGTTCAGCACCCAGAGAAGAGAAAAAAGAAAAGAAGAAAAATAAAAAACAAAAGCAAGTATGATATATGACTGTCCTAGCAAGTAGATAAGCATCTATGGGAATGCGAACGTCTCTCACTCATAATTAATGAGACACATTCACAAGCTTGTTTTCATGACCACCAATCTAAAAATGTTCCATACTAGAGAAACTAGACGTTAAGTGCATGTGTACTTTGCATTCTGTTCTCTCCTTGTGTTATTTACTCCTTAGCGCAAAATTGCATTGATGACTACATACCTGTAAATGGTATTTTTATATGTCAAAAATTGCACTCTTACTATATATTCTTCAACTCCACTACACTGTTCCCCAATGTGGAGCTTTTCACAACTCAGTAGTGTCAGAGAAACAGAGGCAAAGACCCTACATCCTTTCCCAGTTCCCCCTTACTCTAGTAGGGAAGAACATAGAACATTTGGCAGACCCCCTAAACCATCCCAGTAAAGAAATTGGACTAGCTAACAAACCCCTATCCTAAAAAATCCCAGACCTTCCATTCCTGGCTTTTTTCTCAAGACTCCTCTATACTCCAATTAAGAAATCTGGATTTTCTTTCTGAAAACAGTGTAGTCTGGTTAAATGTTTTGCTTTGAGCATCTCATCCATTTCATCCCAATTGTCTTTCTTCCCCCCACAAATGTTTCTGAAGGCAGATTACAGACCCATGAAAGATGTTTCTAACGATATTATCTATCATAGAGCTGCCATGAAGGGTTGTATTCTAATCTCTCTTTTCATTTAGAAGTATTTGAAAAACCCCCTTCAATTAAATTTTTGAAAAGCATGAAGATCTACCCGTCCCCTATCTTTTTGCTCTCAATATTATGTGATACCCATGGTTGACTTGACAATAGCTAGTTCACAAGGATAAATCTTGTGAAATAATGAATCCAAAATATTTATTAATTTTGTGCAACAAAAATCTGAAGTCCTTCATTGTTAGCCCTATTCTCATAAATCTCAATGAAAAAAATCTGCAAGACATGCCCTATGAAGTAGTTGCATTTTTGTCTCTTTAGGCCTCCTCTACCAATGCAGATTGGTCTCGCTTTTAGTTCAGACTGCTCCCCAATAATTGTTGCCTCGTCCTTCGCCCTAGTCCTATCTCCAAGTTGACAATCAAACAACAAAATGCTTCTACTTCCAATATGAAGGAAAATTTTAATCCATTGCAGCTGAGCTCAATAGTTTTTCTGTTCCTCCTAACATGTACCACGATAATGTTACTGCTACTCCTATATTGCTACTCCATTTCTCCAGTTTCATAGAAAAAACTCTGTTTATTTCATCTGCACAGAGCATCTGTCATGAAGGTCATTTTTGCCATTCGCTTGAAGCATTTATAGTGAGTCTATCAGGTTTTCGGGAGTGCTGGATAATAAGTGCATCTATATTATTACTTATCATTCTATCTCTCTGTCGTATTGTCGTATTCTCTACCGCACGACATAATTGTGTAATACATGAAGGTATCTACACTCTACTGAATACTGAACTGGCTATGTCAGTCAAAGTCAAAACCATTCATTCAATCCCTAGTGACCACCCAGTAATTTTGTTTTCTAATAAAATAGTGGATAGGGTAAAAGAGTCCCATTGAAGAAATTTATACAAGGGTAGCAGTTTCTCATTCAATAATCTTCCTAAAGAAAGGAAAAACCAACAGGGGATTGGGATGAGCACATCCAAAAAGTAAGAGAAAAGGTAACTATGGGGATGTCCCATATATAAGCACATGTATATGCTCACCCCTGTTAGGAAACCACCGTTTTCCCACCAATGAATAAATCAAATAGATATAACAAATGTCAATAAATAAATAATAGAAACTCACACCAGAAGAGATTGATGAATTGGTAGAGAAAAATAGGAAAGGGATAAATAACAAAAACCACATCCATTTTTAAAAATCACAAACTAGAAAAATGACAAGTCATCATATAAGAATGGAGTTAAGAAGCACTTCTTCTCAAGCCAATTCACAGCAAAGCTTGAGGATAAACAGGAAAAAGAATACCTCTCAAAGACTTGGTAGAAGCCCCCTACTGATAAACCCTTTCTCACCACTAAGCAGCAGCAAACACCACTTCTAAAAGACCAAATCTGACTGCCGAAGAACACTTCATCCCCAAGTATTTGTGCTGCGCAGCCCTAGGGTTAGAACGCTAGTCACAGCCCCTAGATAGCAAGGAGAGAGACTAAATTCTCTTCTTCTATTTATACACAAGAAACAAATGAAAACCCCTATTTTAGGGCATGTTTGCAGGAATGCAACTCGTGCATAGCATGACTTTATATGCAAGGCCCACATAATTAGGGCACGGTGATCACCATTTTTAGGCATAAGGGAGAAACTACAGAAAAAGATTGTTTCCTTAATGTTGAGTAAAAAGGTTTGGTGTGGCAAGTTATATGATGCACCAAACCCTGTATTGACAAACCCTTTCTCAACTCTAACCAGCATTAAACACCTCTTCTAAAAGCCCAAATCTGAATGCTGAAGAACACCATAGCACTGCGGATTTGTTCTTCACAGACCTAGATTTAGAACCATTGTTGCAACCCCTAGATAGCAGGGAGAGATGCTATATTCTCTTATTTGATTTATATGCAAGAAGGGTCAAAGAGCCCTCTTTTAGGGCATGTTTGGAATGAGTCATGGATAGTGTGACTTTATATCCTGAGGCCACATAATTAGGCATGGTCATCAGCAATTTTAGGAATAAGGGATAAACCGAGAAACTACAGAAAAGGCGTTTTGCACTCATGTCGAGTAAAAAGTTTGGTGCAGAGAATTTCTTCACACCGAACACAACCTTAGTCAACATGATGTATTCTCCCTCTTATACTTTCTAAAATCATGTGCGTATAAGAAAACAAGTACAAATCACTAAAAACAGTCGGAGGAAAAAATTTCATAAGGCACATCCTCATGAGGATGGAAATCCCATAAGACAGGCATGAAATATACATGGTATTTGAGCTATAAAAATTCCACTTCATTCCCAAGGACCCTAAAAAGGATCCTAAAAGCTAACGACCTCATAGCTATTGTTAACCACATAGAAGCTAAAACTATGACACATCACTTAAAAGAGTAAGTTCTTTAACACTACACCCTGAAACTGAGAGGACAGTGTGGTCTAACAAGTTTACTTATAAGAAGACTTCCTATGCGCCAGAAAGGTGACCAACCTCATGAGGATTGGTTACCTACCACATATAAATTAATAAATGTAAAAAATATTAATTCTAGTTTCATCCCAGTTTACCATCATGGTGAGTGGCTTGTATGACATAAAAAGCGAGAAGAAACTTATGTTTTGTTTCACTTCACTTAAATAAGTGATACATAAATTTAATGGTTTATGACAAAATATTGTAGTGATAAAAATACAAAATCTTTCTGCATGATTGATTTAATAATAAACTATGAACAATTTTCTCAAACAAAAATATAAGTTGAATAAATATTGAGAGTAATAAGACTAGTTAAGTTCCAACAAATCTAATATGAAAAGTAATTGAAGTAAAAAGAGATATGAAAAAATGTCTAAACTAGAAGCTAAAATAAATTTGTCAGCTATCAGACATGGATGAGAAGGAAAAAAAGATCCTACTTTAACCCCCAAAGTTTAGCAGTGTTTTTCTTAAAGGCAGTTAATGAAATACTAGTACGCAAACCGCAAAGTTTTATTCTTATTTAAAACAACATTAAATAAATTATCATGACTTATTAGTGATATTTACAGTTTTATAATAAAAACTATAGAGAGCATTTGGACAAAACAACTGACAAGACAGCCATATTCTAGAAGGCAATTTCAAATTAGAAAAAAGTTCTAGTAGAAGGGTAAATTGGAAATCTGTTTGATCCCATTCATAACTTCAAGGGAAACTTACAGGAAAGTACACAATTTTAGCCACTGATTTGGAGATTTTTATAAATCCTTTGACTAATTCCCAATCCTAATCAGAAGAAATGCCAATCACATTATTTCACCAAATAAGGTGTTGATATAGATATTAGACTTCTAGTTTTGACCTTTAGCAAGTGATATTCCAAGGTACTTGACCAAATCCATCAATGGTGTTCACCCCTCCATTATCAAAATCACAAAAACTACGCATCCATATAAGAAAGAGTGAGTCATTCCCAATCTGCATTTCAAATACTGGCATCAATTTTAAAAAATTAAACAACATTCAAACAATTATAGAACTCATCTTAATTCTTAAAAGGAAAATGAAAAAGTAATGATGCAAGAGCAGGTCAGGAGTATCTGTAACATCACCAACCAGTCCTTGGTTTTGTCTTAATCCCATAGCCAAGAGGCTCAGAGATCTTCTTGTAACTACCAGAGCATGCCTCCTTATGTCTGCAACAAATAAATAAGACAATTCTTTCTTTTAAAGTTACAAGTTTAAAATTACAAGCTCTATGCCTCTTGTAAACTATGAAAGATAACAAGCAAACTATGAAAAATAACAAGCAGGAGGTTATAAACTAGAGCTAGTGCGCTACTATAAAGGAGGGGCACAAAGGGTCGCTTCAGGAAACATGGTTATGAAAAATCTCAAAATGGCCAAGGTTTGTGTAACATAAATATATACAATTTGACTTTCCTACCTGTGCCAATGACAATATGCATTGCCACAAGATCTGTCGTGGGAGACTCTTTCAGTGCAGTCACTAGCCGAAGGCTCCCTATTCATTGCCCTTTTAACCAAATCTCCACAAGATTGGCACTATGAAGTCCAAATGATTTGTCGAGCCATGAATCCGTGTATCAATTGCAACCCCATTCAAAAGAAAGTATCCTAAATCACAAGAACTGATAAAAAAAATAACTAAAAGAAGGAAAGGAGATACCATCCAATGGTGAACTCTGTAACTGTCAACTTCAGCATGAAACGAATGATAGATGGTGATTTTGTAACCACCAACTGGTCTCTACAAGAGGAACCAAATGATGTCATAAACTCAGTTAGTTAAGTTAATAAACCATTACATGAAACTTTAACTCCTCCCCTAAATGCAACAAAGAGACAAACCTGATGATCATCCACTGAGCTTGAATTGATTCCCCTCATCAGTTTCTGGAAGTGAGCGCCATGATCACTGCTTGCACAATACATAATTAAATATAGTGATATCCATGCTATTTGAAACAGTCTTTCAGTAACATATTAAAACATAATTTCCACATTACATACTTATGGTCCTGGTTCTTTGTGTGAAGCCACAAGTATGCGTGAATCATCTCATGCAATAAAGTGTTCTTGAGGTCATCACTTGATCGAAGCTTTAGTAATGGTTCTGAAAGTCGTATTTCACAACCACCCCCTTTTAGAAAGCAACAAACACCTGCACATCTGTTTTAGGAAACCGTGAAAATATGCCAACCATGAACAAAAATGTATCATGTGATGAATATTGATCTAAAATTTCTGAGGCTTTATCTACATTTTTCCCATATAAAAATCATGTTACCTGGAAAAGTCAACCCCCCCTTCTCTCCTCTTTTTTCTTCCATTTCATTTGTGACAATTTCGACACAGCAAAACATGTCGGACACAGCAGACACAGCTTTGAAAGGGACAGGTGGCATTTCTGGTCACATAATTGATAAGATATGCTTGTCTCACGATGAGACATGCAGTTTGCCTCATTAATTTGAATTTTTTTTTCTTTAAAGACAATGAAATTTACATGGTTGGTTTTTGAAGTTGTGATCTCCTAAATTGAAGACAGACCTTTAAGAAAGTCCACTGTACCACTTAGCCATACATTCATTTGTTACATAGTTACCTTTATTTAGTAATAAGATTATTCAAAAAAAACTTGAAAATTGAAAAACAGAAGCAGGTGAAACTCATTTCTGAGATTGAACAAATTAGAAGTTGATGCATAACATTGCTAAACCAAAAAATAGAGTGATCTCTCCCCCCCCACCACCCTCTCTCTCTCTCTCTCACACACACAAACACATATCATTATCTAACATTTTAATGACCAAATAATATATATTCTTCTTAATTATAGAAAAAAAGAATTAGATCCAATTTTATAGTATATATAAGGACTCACAAAAAGCACTTGTTCACAACAAGTTCTGACAATGGTTGGGATCAGGAGCAGTATCGGGAGTAGGATAGGGATCTGGAGCAGGAGATCCTAAAAGGCTAGAAGATCCATATGGTTTGGGAAACCGTTTGTGCAACGTATATGTTAGTGACCGAGGTCCCCAAATGTTAGGGATCTTGCCCCCAACTTAGATAGTATATATACTATCTATATACTATCTAAAGTAGCAATCTCTTTATTTATTGTCAGCAAGCAATGTGATGCAACTATATTAAAATAGTTGCATTGCCAACTTGATACAATTAAAGGAAATCATCAGTTCAATAGCTATCTTGGTCTTTAAGGTGGGGATTGAGATCCCTAACAATAGGGATAGAGATCCCAAAATTCAAAACTCAAGATCCCTTTTTTGGAGTGCTAGAGCAAGATTCTGGTGCAGGATCACTGCCTAGGTTAGGAAATGCCAACAACTATGTTTCTGACTCCGATAGTGTCCATTCAAAGTATAGACAAGATGAAATAAATATTGAACTCTATAATTTACTATTGATAATAATTTTTTTTATAATTGTGCATATTTGCATATATTTTTATAATTTTTTTTAACATTTATATTCATTTATTATTTTATACTTAAAAACTGTAGAGATGTATCGGCCATGTCTCTTGATTTAAGGTCGCCATGTCTGACACTTATGTGTCTAGCACGTTTTGGCGTATCCATGTCTAGGTAACATAGCTAGATAAGCTTACATCTGCCCATCCAACCACAAAATTGAGTCCCCATAGCAGACAGTTGGATGGTTCCAAAAGTGCAATTTTTGCATTATTTCTTTCCTTGAAATGTACTATCCAGGGAATTGTTGTTCTCAACTTGTCATGCAAAGCAAAATTGCATGAGCAGCATTGCACTATTACATTCCCTCAATGCATATAACAGTAGACACTCACATGAAACTGATGGTCTCTTCAAGAAAAAGTTTTCCATATATGCGTAGCATCAATCCCATACAACAAAATATAAGGTACATGTGTAAATGCATCCACATCCATCCTTAAATGCACAAATCTCAAAACATGTGATGTGATTAACCGCTATGGTGTCCCATGTGAGATTGATGCTGGTCATATGTCAAAGTTTTCAGAAAAACCATCAGTTAATCCATTATATCATATAAGAGAACCATGCTTCTCATGAATGTGGGACATATGATGTTTTCCTCAAGGAATGGTGCCAGTTGCGACGCTGATGCTTCTCGTGGAAATGACAATCTTCTTGCACGGAACAATTATCTCTCATGATAGCAATGATCTGTAAGAACATGTGCAGCCAAGTACAAAATTTCATGCACCTGTATCACTCAAAAACAGTTGAAACTAATCCAATTAACTTAATTCTTGTTCATTATTTTTTTAAAGCTCCATGATTTCCATTATAAATAAATTCCCTAATTCAACTAAATCTTGAATTCGTGACAAACGGCATCATTCCCCTAGACTCCACACACAAAAAAACACACATATGCACTCAATGTTAAATTAGTAATACATAGACAATTGATACTTAAAACCATTTTTTTTGTTTACCCATATTCGGAAGGGACAAAAACAGGTTCCTAATTCTCTTGAAGGACCAAATATGCTTCACTTTGGAAAGTCAGGCCAAAAATTAGAGTTCAAACAAATACATGGCCATTTCCATTAGAAGAAAAAAAAGAGAAGAAAGACCCCTTTTACCAAATCATGAATAATCGATTCACTTAGAGATACCTTGATGAACTTCTAAAAATTAATTCAGTAAATAGAAGCCATGGAAAATCCCCAACTAAAGACCTATATACTTGAAGCAAAAAAAAAACATGAATTAACCCATAAAGAACCAATTCTCCATTCACGCAGTGGATTCTTATCAGGTAAATTAAACACCACTGACCTACTAACTAACAAGCAAAACAAGATACAAACATCCATTAAATGAATAAATAATTTCTCTGTCATCCACAGTTCACAGTAGAAATGCCAAAACATTTGATAAGAACTGTGATAGAATAACAGCGAATTAGCACCAAATGATAGAGAGACAAGAGAGAGAGAGAGAGAGAGAGAGAGTTGATTACAGTGTCATGCGCTTAGAGCTCCAAGTTACAGAGCAAGCCCTGAGGCTGTCACCAAAATAGAGTTCATTATAGTAACAGAAGAGAGCATGAATATCAGGATTTGGATCCAAAATATCAGCTTCTTGTAAATCCATGGAATCCAGACAAGAAATTCAGACACAGATAAACCTTCGAGCTTCCATGCTTTCTTTGAAATTTGGGGTTTTTTGGGGCATGGCGGTTTTCTTTTTTTAAGTTAACCCCCGTGAGGGAGACTCGATTCTTTTGTTTTTAAATGGCTAAAACGAGGGCGTTTTGGAGACAGGGATAGGTGGCATTGGCGTCCCCGCCGAGATAAATAATAAATTTTTTGTGTCGAGTCAGACGCAGATAAACCCTCGAGCTTCCATGCCCTCTTTGAAATTTGGGTTTTTTTTAAGCGAATGGCGGTTTTCTTTGTTTAAGTTAACCCGCGTGTGGAGGTTCGATTCTTTGTTTTTTTAAAATGGCTAAAACGACTCAATGAGGCTCCAATGTCTCCATTGCAATAGGAATGTGTCATGTGGGAGTCTTTTGCAGTTAGTATAGTAGGCTCCCAATAATGGGATCTTTTAGTCTTACAGGATATGATTTTTGGTAGAGGAGAAACAAGATTTGTGTAGTTGATCTCAAATAATTGGAATAGAGTTTTGATGATGATGATTGTGAAGAGTGTCTGGTTTTTTTGAAGAAACTCTTTATTCGTTAATTGTATGAATTTACCAATTTTGTTTTTATAGATAAATTATAAATAAAAAAATATAAAAATAAATCACAGGCACTTAAACTATATCCAGTCTTACCATAAATATAAAAGGTTAAAATAGAGAAGATGGTAAAATGGGTTGCTGAGATTAGGGACCAATCTACCGAAAACAGGAATGAGGATTCGAGACCAATCTAAAAAACCATGAACGAGGATTTGGTTGGGTACTTACAATGGTGAAGCTCATGCCACAAAAAGCCCCCGATCTCTTCATCTTTCTCTATCCTCTCTCATATTCAAAGAAAAAGAAATGGAGGAAAAAGGTTCTTCCGAGATTGACTAAAGCTGCCCAAAATGGATTGGCGCTTCTTAGATCCATGCGATTCAGGCTCTATCTTCTTGCTCAACAGGTGCTCACTGAACGAGGACCAATCTACATAATCCACGTTCAAAGGCGCAATTTATAAACAAATGACTGTTTGACTGGAGCTGCAGAAAACATAACAGAGATTCTAAGGAGGACTTATCAACGAATGGTTCAGGAGATGAAAAGAAGTGCAAGCACCCTGACGACTTTTGACAATTCAGCAGCAGGTTTGAAGAAGGCAGAAACTGAATACAAGGGTCACCACTGGCCAATTATCAGATGGGTAAAATCAGGACCGAATCGAGTAATAACAAATTGACATACTCGATCACAGGAATGGACACAACGAATTTGTATCTAGCTCTGATACCATGTGAAGAGTCTTAGGTTTATCTGAAGAGGCTTTGTGTCTGTTAATTATATGAATGTACATACTCGTTTTTTATAGTCAAGTTACAAATGAGAAAATATAAAAATAAATCACATTAAATATGAGAAGGGTAGGTATAATATCCTGTATTTTATAGTAAGTTTGGGTATAGTTTACGTGTGTAATTTATTTCTATATATTTTTATTTATAATTTATCTATAAAAGACAAGTCTGTACATTCATACAATTAATGGACACAAAGTCTCTTAAGAGAAACTTGAGACTCTTCACAAATGAAGATAAGCTCACAATACTTTGTGAAGCTTTCCATGTCTCTTCTCTATTTTTTTATGATCCTATTGATGATCTTGGGAATTAATTTGTCAGTGGCCTCGACTTTTATAAGGTACAACAAACTTCTTGGGTATGCTAAATTTATTGCATAACCTTGTCACTTTGCCATTCTTGAAGTTGGTCTCATTATATGTAACTATCATTTTTGGGACCTCAAATCTATGAAGTATATCGCTCTTTATGAACTGCACTGCATGTTGCCCCTCAATATTCGTGAAGGAAGTGCCTAGAACTCATTTTTAAAACTATTATGTTGCAGTTAGAATTAATTTATGCCCATTAGAGGCCCTAGGGGATCATGTCGATCACATATGTGTGCACCGACGAAAGGTCATATGGGCGGAGTGTAATTGAATGGTATAGATGGTGCATGAATGAGTCCCTATAAACCTTACATTTAGAGCATCTTCTTACGTCTTTTTAGCAATCTTCTGTCATCAAGGTCGAATAGTACCATTTGAAAACATGGCTGTGTGGTGTTTTAAAGAGTAAAATAGAAAATTCTATTGTTTCATTTATTTTTATATCTGAATTCCAATTACAAGTATCACATAATATTGTTGTAAACATAGTCTAGGATCTTTTATTTTACTGCAAAAAAAATATGACTCTATCAAAGATTGAAAAACTAGCTTTAACTATGAATTCTAATACAAATAATGCTCTTGAAATTTGAAATAAACTAAGTAATATTGACTAAAAACAGCCACAAAGACTTGTTTCACTTTTCCAAGGGTTCACTTCTTAGACAAACCCTATTATCTAATTGATGGTGAACTCTATTCGTATTGGCCTTACTGAACTCTCTAAATCAGAAAGTTTACTTTAGGTAATACCTTTTAAATCTAGGATTTTGATAGCATAACCAAAATTAGGTTTTCTTATAAACTTCTATAGGGCATGCCACAAGTGACACCTCCTTTATTCTTTCTAGGGCGGGGAATGCCCTTCTTTTCTCACTTGTGCCACCCCTAGCTTCCCAGAGTGGTGCATGCCACCCTCTAGAGATGAGAGAGAGAGAGAGACAAAGGAACAACCTTGAGCCATCCATCTCATGAATCAGCTTTCATGATTTATGGAGATATCTAGAAATATTATACCCTGAATCTTTGACCCATGTCCACTTATAATCAACTTAAACAACTTAAATAAGGCCAATCAAAACATAATCTTCTAGAATTCCCTTATCTCTCACAAGACTGTGGGAAGTCAAAGTAAAAACTTGATAAACAATTTGATTAATATTTTCAAAATACAAAATATATATATTGCTCCCACAAAATAAAGACATAAAATCTTTTCAAAGATTTCTTACTAAATAAAAAATACTTTTATTTGAAAAATAAAAATTTAGGAAGTGATGGGGGGTGTCCCACTTCCATGTGTGAGGTGTATGGGCCGCACATCCCACAAATGTTGGTGTGACACATATTTGGGGATGGATCCAAAAGCCCCACACGTGTACTTATTAGCCACACCACTATTTGGAATTTTCAAACATGCATGTTTAAGGTTTTTACTGCTGAAAATAATTTTTAAATTAAAAAATATAAAATGCACAGACATTTCTCACAATGAAAAAAAATCTAGAAGTACACTCATACCAATAGATCATGAAAAGCGACTGTTAGGGCACTCCACCTGACCCAATAACTGTGATC